AGTGAAAGTTCTGAGTGCTGGTCAGGATGTAGAAAAACAGGAACTACACACTGCAAGCCTAAGTTTATACTTCTCTAGCTGGTAAAGCAAATTCCCAAGGTAATTTGGCATTATCAACATTTAACAGGTATTCCTCAAAAGGTTAAATAAACACACAGTTATCATATGACCCAGGATTTTCACTCCTGGGTAGATGCTAAGGAAAAATAAAAACATCTTCTCATTAACATTTGTACATAAATGTTATTAACCATATCACTCATCATGGCTAAGTGGAAACAAACCAAATGTCCACCAACTGATGAATGAAAAAAGAAAATGAGAAAATGTGCTATAAGCTATACAATGAAATATTTTTCAGTAAGATGGAGTGAAGTGCTGGTTCATGCTAAAATATGGATAAGCCTTGCAAATACTACACTAAGTGAAATAAACTGGCACAGAAGTTTAGATATTACATGATTCTATTAAATGCCTAGAACAGGGCAATCAATAGAGATAGAAAGCAGATTAATGGTGGCTGAGGGGAAGTGACTACTTACGGGTTTAAGGGTTCTTTTGGAGATGATACAGATGTTCTGAAACTGATATGGTGATGGTTGTGTAACTCAAGAATGTATTAAAAACCAATGACTTATACATTTTAAATGGCAGATGTGTAAATTATGTGAATTATATCTCAATAAATCTATTAGTTAAAAAAAAGAAAAAGAACAGAAGCCTAACTGTAACCTTTACTGGTTGGATCCACTTTAAATAATTCTATGTAACCTCATCTCAGCTCTTAATTCTGATTGCACATTTAAACATTCCTTTCATAATTCATCTTTATACCCCTTCTTAAAGCAGTGGATGCAAACTCTTTCTCCTTTACATGCTTCTAACTTTGTCCATTCATTGTCAGTGGACAAATTCAAACTCTCAAAAGTTCTCCCAATTTAAATATTTGATACCTCAAAATGCCTTTTTCTTTTTCTTTTCTCAATGCATTCTTTCTTCTTGTTTTAGAAGAACTGTGCATCTTTCCAACATCACTGTTACTATCAACTCCATTTACTATCTCTTTTATTAAAAGCAGTTTCCCTCCTAAGAGACAATTTAAGAGACTTCTATCCCTTAAAACAAAACTGGTGTATACCATCTTTTGGTCTTATGAACAGGCAATGAACTCTTCTCTTTCCACCCTTTCACCAGCAAAATGTCCTTGCCTGCCTTCCTGAAATATTTACTCCCTATGCAATGAATTCTATCTCAGTTGCTCTTTTAAGGGAAAGACCTTGCTAACTGCTAAATTCATAGCTTATTTTTAGTCCTCATTCTCCTTGATTGAGGGATTCAGCATGGCTCACTCACTTAACTCTGGATCACAATAAAAAAAAAAAATCTTTGGATTAAATTCTCAATCTCTGCTTCTCTCTATAAATGAGGCAAAAAACTACCTCTTAGGGCTATTGTGAAATTAAATAAAATGAAATTCTTCTATATCATCTAAGATATTTATTTTCACACTGAAAACTCTGTTAAGTGTAGTTTAATAGGCTATCATGATCATTAAGTATGCTGGTTGTAAGGGAACCAGACGACTGTGGTGTAAACTCCAGCTCTGTCTGCATGAAATACGATACTTAATTTGGTGCACAGTTTCCTTTATTCTATGACCTTCATAGAGTAGTTCTAAGAAAAGAAGTGAGTAAAATGGGAGAAAAGAAGACAGTCATTAAATATTAAGAACAGAGGCTGGCATTGCTAAGATGATGCTTGTCACTGCTGGATAACGGGCTTTTTGTTGTTATTATTTATTTTTATTTACTTACTTACTTGGCAGTGCCAGGTCTTAGCTGTGGCACACAGGATCAGCATTCTTAATAACTGTCAACAGTTGTTAGCTGCCTTTTAAAGAAAATGAAATACCTGAGGACAAGAACTGTTCTCTGCCACCAAAACAGTGACTTAAAGCGGACTTTCTATGATGTTTCTTGCACATATTCATTCATTCAATAAACTTCATTTGAAAACCTATTGGTTATTTGTACCTTACTCTCATCCATCTAACTCACAGCTGAATTCTACAGCATCTACTTTCCTGGAGGCGCTTCCACAGAGGCAGGGTCCGGTGGACTGAGGACAGGCTGGATGGTGCTCAGGAGCCGGGTGCGCCTGCTGCTAGACATGGGGTGAGTTACAAATGACCTAAGCCTCAGTCTTCTTAACTATGAATTGAGATTGAGAAGATACACATCCAGAACATACTGCTTGGCACAAAGTCCATAAATCCTAGCGGCTCTCTTCCTCTTCCTTTGCCACACCTACTTCATCTGGTTACTTCCCACCCATCTTGACTCCGTGTTCTAGTTTGCGACCTGTCATCCCATCCCATTCCTATGCATACAAGCTGACAGGTTCAAGTTCTTATTTTGTCTTATGTTACTGCTCTGCTTAAATGCCTTCAATGACTCTCTTAGAGCCTAACACTTGACAACTAAGGTTTAAACTTCTCGGTATCAAGATCTTCTGGTTTCTTACCCAACCTTATCTTTATGATCTTTTCTGTCTCCTTCACAGTTGATGCTTTTATCTCCTCAAAGCTGGCTGTACATTCTAATTATGTGCGGGTAATTTTTAAATTGCCATGTCCAGGCCCCACTACCTAGAAATTCTAATTTGTTTATTCATTCTCAGCTGGAGCCTGAGCACTGACTTACTCTTAAGTTCCCTATGTGACAACGCATAGTCGGGATTAAGATACACTGCTCTAATCAGACTGGTCTGTCTCCCTGTCTCTAGACACAAACTTGTTATTTTTCCCTCTCTCTCATCTGCCCTCATTAAAATGGCCACTCCTACTTAATGGCTCCCCACTCATCCCAAGGCAAACAGAGTAGGAAAGGTTTCCTCCTCTCCTTGAACTTCTATCATACTTTACTTCAACTTGTGTTCATTTTGCCTTGCATTATAGCTATCTGTGTGCATGTTCTTGGTTTCCTCTTTTGAGGGAAGGCCAAGTCTTTCCATGGGCTGACGTAGGCATTTTAGAAATTGAATCTTAATCTTCATAATCTAACATTCCTTTAAGGACGGTATTACCTCCCTGAGTTATAAATAAGGAAACTGAAGACAAGAGAAGTAAAGCAGCTTTCCTAAAGATTTGCAAAACTAGTAATTCTTTAATTTTTCTTTGTATATTACATATATCACAATCTCCCCCCATGTTGTCAGACAGAAAAATATCCAATAAATGCTGGATGAATGTATGTATTTTCATTTTAATTTTGGTGAATGAAAAGAGATTCAACCCTAAGTCAACATTCATAACAATTAAGGGAAAATGCAAGAAATATACTGTGCCTATTTTCTTTTCCAAGATAATATTTTAAAGTCATTGCTTAGTTTTTATATTTAAACTATACTTAAAAAAAAAAACACTGCAAGACAATAGTTTTGAAAGCTAGTATTTCAAGAAACAGAAAAGGATGAATTAGTACCTATCAACAACCTAAACTGGATAGCTGACCGATATCCTCTAAGTATTGGGTTGGCCAAAAAGTTTTTCATAAGATGTAATGGAAAAACCCAAACGAATTTTTTGGCCAATCCATATATAGCATGAGGAAAAGCCTATGGAAAACTGACATGCTTTTGATTGGCAGGGTTGAATACTTTCAGCTCTCAATCAGAATGAGGGCTCAAGAACAGGATGGGCTCAATTACAAAAATACAGAGCAAGTTCACCTCACTACTTTTTCTGTCAGTGAATTTTACTGTTTGAACTCTGACCTTTACCAGAAATCACCTAAACTAGGTTCTCATTTTCACCTCATCACTGAGATAATTTTGTAAACATTAGCTAATGTAGGATGGAAGGGTACCTCTCAGATTTCTTAAATAGTAAAGTGAAAGGCTGGATGGTGTTAAGGTGCTTTTCAATTTTGAAATTCATTCATTTTTACTGATTTTTTTCCCCTAATATTATATTCTTTCATGTTTCTATTAACTCCATGTATTTCCAAAATTTGAGAAAACTTCAAATTTAAGATCAAGATTCATTCATTTAAATGGGAGCAGAAAGCAGTAACTAATATTTTCTCAATCATAGTATTGGCTTCTGTCATTTGTTGACAGTTTTATCCAATTTTAGGAGAAAAATTAAATTTCCCTGTGAACTACAGGAGTCATGATGATTTCTGTTCTATATTACACACTTGAAGTATTACATACCTGAGAGTCTGACATGCCTTTAACAGGCAGGATTGAATATGTGGTAGTTATTCAATGTATGTTGAAAGAACAAATAAGTGAATTCAGACTGACCAAGTAACAATAAGCTACAGGGAATCTTTTTCAGAGCTGTATATCAGCTCTCCTTACTAGATGGATTGGCCAAAGGTGCTTCACTTCAACGTTCCTGGCAACATATGAAGGTATACGAAAGAAATAAAATTGAGACCAGAGATGAAGGTGATGGTGGTTTAAAATTCTCAGATAACCTTAAATTTACCCAGCATTTTAAAGGAAATTACAAACCTTAAAAGTAATACAGGGAAAAAACCACTAGACTCTTAAAATACTTCAAATCACGAAACTTAATTTTTCAATTTTAAGCAAAATTCAATAGTATTTTCAACTTACAGACAGATATCACTGGATATGTACAAACTTCACATATATATATACATTTTAACTTTACATATATAAAAAGACCTATTACTTTTTCTAAGCAAGTTAATCCTATAATCCTAATTTTATACTAGAGAAAGCTAAAGGCTTTAGTAACTTGACTCAAGTCATATACTTGGGATTTGAACCCATTTGTCAGCCTCCAAAGTCTATGCTCTTCACATTATAGTGCTGTGAAAACTGTAAGGGATTCCTCTATACTAAAGCATCTATTTTAACCTCTAAGTAACGCAGGACCATTAAACAGGTGAATTAACAATCAACTGTATTTTAGTGGAATATTCATCATAAACAAGATAAACACAATAAAGAATAAATACACTTACTCATTCCTGAGCATTCTCTATCGCCATCCCATACATTAGAAACAGCGTGTCCTGTCAGCAGGAGGTTAATTAAACTTTGGCTATTAATAAAGATTAAAAAGTAATTAAAGTATGAATATATTAATTTTCAAAACAAATTACTCTTGTGATAAAGCATAAAATCATGACTTTTTACATTAAATTATGTTGTTTAAAAAATAGAAAAACCTACACAACCTTGCTAAATGTATCACTTCCTGTGTCACCACAATGGTATTTGTTGTTCTATATAATCATATAAATTTAACAACTTTATTCAAGACATCATATTTAAATAGATTTAAAGAATGATACTTAGACTGCTAATTTATTTATAATCACTTTAAAATACATATATAATTTTTATTATTTTGTGTTTGATGCAAGACATGTGAATTTAACCTCTGGAGCAGAAAGATCTAAAGGAAATATGTTTTGGAGTGAGTTAACAATCAGTCATTGTGTCATCAATTTTAGCATAAATAGCTATAAAAAGCTTGAAAGGCAGGGTTTTCTCAGAGAAAAATAAAGAAAAAAAAAAAATTTCCCTCAAAGCAGGAAAGCATTCACAAAAACACATGGGTATACTTATTTCTAAGTTAAAGTGAGCAAATTTCACCTATTAGAAAATTTCATGAATGTACTATCAAGCAAAATTTGTTAAAATATTCCCATTGTCATGCTAAAAGAAAATATTTGCTACAATAAACCCAGTGCATACATAGATCTAAAGTGACCTAAAAGCAATGTATAAAACATAAGACTGTTCATACTCAGAGACTAAGCTGTCAGTACTGACAAACAAAATTATCTGACTTAGTAGTGTTTTATCTTATGTGCATATTATCAGTCCTAAATCCTAAAGTCCATATGAGGAAATAATAGATTTTAGTTAATTACCTGCCATGTCCATACACAGGATCTATCAAAGGCTCACTCGAATCTTCAATTTCATTTTTTATGTTTTCAATGCCCTAAAGAAACCAAGAATTCATTGGCTTATTTTTAAAACTAAAAATGAAAATTATGGTAGTTTAAAAACTAACCAGTTTATACTATGAATTAATAAAACACAATTATATAAGTAACTTTTCTCCCAAAGATTTATCCAGATTTGAAATGGAGGGATTTCAAATGCATTTGAAATGAAAATGGTGAAAAGCAGTTAATTCTTAGAATCTTTTTTTTCTTCTGTGGACTCTACATCAGAACAGGTAACAGATCCAATGTGGGTGTATGTGAGTTAAAGGGGTGGAGGGGAGTGCAAGAGAGGGGGAGACAGAGAGACTATTTAAATTTCAAGAGAAGTGAGGAGAAAATTATTTTATCTGAAAGTTAATACTCATTTAACTTCAGGTGAAATAAAATTTGAACCCAATATACCTACTGAGGCACCTGATGTATTTTCTTAGATCATTAAAAAACTAAATATATACACACAATAAAGATATAAATTTAAATACACAACAGGTATTTCTTGTATATAAGAAAATGGAAGGTTCTCTTCTGATTATGTGTTCTTACATGTTGGTCATTCAAATGTGTGTTGACAAAATAAAATGTAAACTAGGAGGGCAGGAGTTTCTTATTTTCCTGAAAGCCAAATTTCTGGTATTTTTAATCACCCAAAAGATCACCCAAATCCCTAAAGGTCTAGCTATTGGATAAGTACAAGAAGGCCTAGGCATTTTATCTCCAGCAATTTCAAAATGACAAAGATAAATTGCCATTCATTGTGCTATTCACCTAACTTTAACCATTGATTCCATTTGATTATAGGCCATTTCTAAAAATTAAAGAGATGATAATCAACAATCAAAATAGTATTGATTGTGGAAATACTGTAGAAGGACACAAACAAGTTTAAGATTTCACACTGGCCTTCCTTGAAAACAACCAACACAAAATGGACTATCATAAAGTCACAATGAGTAACATAATCAAGTGCCAAAAATCACTAGGGAGAGAGGGGACCTGATTTCAAAGACCAGGTCAAGGAAGAACTAGACATGACAGTTTTCTTGGCTGTGAAGGACAAGACAGAGAGGAGGTATCAAAAGTTTTGAGCATAAAAACTGGGAGAGTACTGAACAGTCATGATGAACTCATTAAGAAACCAGACATCCTCGGGACCTCCATCACTGATAGTCCCCATTGCTAATTGACTACTAACTACTTTTCATTCTTTCTCTTAAATATGCTCCTAAATGGTTTAAAATTTCTAAGTTTAAAACACGCTTCTAAAAAATATGCTCCTTTTCTTTTCCATTTCCATGATCACTGCTCTGGCTTAGGGTCACCTATTTCAGTAACTACTTTTCCAGTTTCCCTGACTCTAGTCTTATTATCCACATACCAACTCCCTCCAGCACAACTCTAATACCAATTTAAAGAACCTTTTAGCAACAGAAAGATCTTGTTACGCCATTGCTCACAATTTTTGATTTGTTCCAATTTTGGCCACATGAAATGAGATTTTAAGTATTTTTGCAAAAGAATGCTTACACATATGCCATTCTCATCTTCCACAGTTGCCCTTTTGGTAGATTATGCTACACTAATACTGAACTCTTATATAGTTTCCAAATGTGTGATACATCCCCAACCGATAATGTCTTTATACCTGCTGTTCCCACAGCTTAGAATTTCTTCCCATAGTTATTCTGTCCAGAAAACTTCTCCCCATCCATCAAATGACACCTACAGGGTCTGCCCTTGATTCCACCATATGAACTGAGGCAAGCCTTCTATTGTCCCACCACGCTTTGTGCATAAAACAAATAAACACCAAAAACACTGCCATAATGGAAGTGACTATTAAGGTGTCTGCTTTTTTGTTTACAACATTGAAGAGGAATGATTAAACAAAAATTGTACCCCACACTGTAAGTTTAGTTCCTAATAAACAGTCAATGCTCAATAAACATTTATCAAGTAAATGAAGTCTGATTCCAAATATGGCAAATCCAGCAGAATAACTCAGACCAAACAGGTTGCTGGAGATGTGAGGCTGGCACTCACAGAAAAGGGCAGGACCAGAAGTATACAGATCAGAATGAACGACGTAAAGGTAAGCTAGAAGATACAAAGGTAAATAACAGAAAAAGATGGCAATGAAGCTATAAGCAGAAAATTATGAGGCATTACAGAAAGAGAACTAGTATAGTGATATATCAGGTAAGCTAAGAAGGGACTGGTGTTAGATACAGCTGTTCCAGAAGGGGTTAAGGGATCAAGTGCTTACTATGATCAAAGAAAATAAAATACCAAAGACCTCACTGTACTTCATAATTAGAACACTACTGATAAATCTCTGCAGTCTAGAAGATCATGGGTGAAGCTTGAAAAGTGGTTAAGTAACAGGTGAATGAAGAAAGAGAGACTGATTCTTCATTACTGGCACAGGAGATTTCAATTCTGAGATTTAGAAACAACAACAGGAGTAAAATTTCTCTCTGCAGCAGGAAAAATATTAAACTCAAATGAATAAAAATCAGAAAAACATCTTCTTTAACCAACCTTTGTCAGTAACACAGAATACAGAAAAAGCAATACTCCAAATTTGTTTCCCCACATTGAATACTGGTCCAAGACAGCATCTCTTAATTCTGCTAAACTTCTGAATGATCTTTTTCTGGGGGGAAAAAAAGAATTAAGTATTAACATGATGTTGAGACTGACCACATTCATAAATGGGGACATTTTTTAATTGTCTTCTACATTAAAATGCATACAAAGAGAAGATTTTTGTGTCTCAAATTTTCAAATATAAATTTAGCCATTAAAAGCCAAAGCTATTGCTGACAATTGTCTTTATATGTAATAGGTATCATTGAAATAGAAAGCCTACGTGGTAGGGAACCTCTTCATCTCTTAGGTGAACTGTCTGACATCAATGACTTCTTTAATGATCATACAGTTATTTAAGGAATTAGGTGGTCCTCTTCTAGGATATTGTTAGGAACAAAGAAACTCGACTTTTTAAAGCTTGAAAATTATTTAACAAATATCTAAACACCAAGGATAAGGTGTACATTTGTGGCTTCTTTTAAAATAACATTATATTTCAAATCAAATGCCACTCGCATTTCTACCAACATAGCTATCCTTACCTTTTATTTCACAACAAAAAATTTAAATACTCCAATCAAAACATGGCACTTTAAATGAAAATTATAGAAAACGTATTTTGACAATAAGCAATAACACAAATATTTGTCATACTAGAAATCTTTATATTCACTTGGAGAAACATTAAGCTAAAATGATTTTTTCATTATATTGATGAAAAAGCCTTTAATGTTATAAAAGGGTGTATTTCCATAGTTAATTTCGGAATCAGAATATTTTAAGAACATATTGACAAATTATTCTTTCTTAAAAAAATCTGAAAACAAATTAATCCTCAAGCATACAAATCTAAGTACCTCTCCACAGTATGAACAGACTTAAAATGGCAATGTGTCCACAAGGTAAGTATTTTAAATGTTCCAATGTTACTTACTGAATTAATGCATGAAATCGCTCAAAGCCAAGCTCTTCGACAGCCAAGGCAGCTATACATAAAAGACACTTTTCAGCACTACACATGGCAAATAAATGACACAAGATACACACAGCAGGCTGTAAATACTTTTAAGCAATCAAAAGTTTCCCTCTTTCCTTACTCCTTAGAATTCTCAGTTTATTTTCCACTTTACTATAACATAAATTTATATTTCAACATCTTAAGTATCATGAATAGAACTAAAATGGATTTAATACTGAGAATGTAGAAAGGTGATTAAATAATAAACATTTTCTTTAAATTCAGTTGTGCTAGAATAGTTAATAACATGTGAGAAAGCATTGACAATCATAGTGCTTCACACATAATTGCAATGTGTCCTGCACTTCTAAATCATCTTTCATTTCTTAGAGCCAAGTCAAATCTTCACAGCTAATCTTCCTCTAATATAAAACCTTTATTTTAGACTTGATGTTTCATTATTAAACAAATGTGTATAAAAAGGCAGAGCACTTTGAAAATACACAGGTTCAACGACAGCTTTAAGTTTGTTTCCTCATTTACTCATATAACTGTTAAGTTTTCAGCATCTTATTTAGATTATATTTATTAATAAAATTATAAAATTTTAAGAAATCAAAGGAAATCAAATAAAGCATTTAAATGAAAAGTAAGGCTTACTTAGCACAGTTCTAAGTTCCAGGCCCCTTTTTAAATGCTCTATGGGCCTTAACCTCATTTAATCTTCAAACAACCCTATTATCCCATTTTACAGAAGAGGAACCTGAGGCCCAAAGGAGAATCCTCCCAAGAGCACAAAGCTATAAACAGCAGAACTGAGATCTGAACCCAGATAGTCTCGGCTCCACAAAGATGAAGTCTTTAAAGAAATCCTATACAGATCAAAATGCTCACGCTAATTAATCACAAGGAACAATTTCATATATACCTTATTAAATAAATGTTAGTATTTTCAAATACTAACACTCATTAGAGAACTGAAGAAATTGTTTCACTATGTATTCAAAAGTGAAATTTTGATTTACAATAAAAAATGTCACATTTTTAAGCCTTTCAAAGTCCAGATTTAATTTTCAAATGTTTTGAATAACTTTTTAACATCTGTAAAAGCCCAAATGGATTCATTTAAATAATCTTTTGATTTGTGTGTGGGAAACAAACTGAAATTGAACCTGAGTATTCACTATTGCAAACAAGTGTGCATTACCAAAAGCCAGAACTACACACCACAAAAGCCAATGAAATTAATGTTTGTACACAATGTAATATTGACAAGGGGGAAAACACTTCACATTTAAAATTTCAAGATAAAATAAAACTTCTACCTAAAATTTTCCAAACTGTACTAACTTCTCTGTGGTGCCTGATTATCTCAATAATTTTACTGAGTGTACACTATGAAAGTTGACATAAATATAGTAATTTAGAGAAAAGAGGCAAGCAAAATAAAAAGCTTAGCAGGCAGGATGGTAGAAAAATATGAAACACAAGAAAAAGAACATAGCTGGGAATAAAGGAAAGAACAGGTAAAACAGATTGTTATATGGAATAAATTTTAATATAAGTTCATTTCATTGTCAACATCTAATGTGAATTTTCAAACTTTCAATTACTAAAACTTCTCAAATTTATATAACATTAAAAATCAGTTTATAAGTTTCATTTCATGTCTATTTTAAAAATGAGACAAAGTAAATTGGAAAATTACTAAAAAATGTCTTTTGGAGGGGGAATCAATATAACAGGCCCACATAGGTTACTGAAGTGCCAAAGTTAACATCATGAGGCCATTTAACCTAGAACAATTTAACTAATCAACACAAAAATGTACAGTACATCCAGTGAGCACACAGTTTACTAAAATACTAATGAAAAATGTTAGCAAAAAACTATTTTCTTATAAAATTAATACATGGGAGTAGTTTTAACCGCATATTCTCTAAAACAACTTCTAACTACTTCAACTATTCCTATTAAGATTTTAATATCCTAAACAAAACTATTAAACACGCTTTTATGCAATCCAGTAAAATCTGGAAAATATTTTAAAACCAGCCTTAATGACATTTTCTGACTATCAACCTTGTGAGCATTTTCCACTTGTTTTCTTCAACTCTAAAAATATATTAAATTGTTTTTGAAATGCTATGTTTGAAAGGCCTAAAAGGAAATGTCATTCAACTGTTTAAATTTTAAAAATTATTCCTTGCAAATATACTATTAGTAGAATCTGCCATTGTAACTGCAAAGGTGAGAGAGAAGATGCTGACATCATAGACATGTTGGCTCAAGGAGACAACTTGCCTCATACACAATCCTATAGGGACAGCAAGACGTGTACCATAGCAACTGAAATTTACTTTTTAGAAATTGGATATCTACAGTTTCCACAGAGTCGATAGTTAATGGATTGCACTATAAGTAGAACAAGTCACTTATTTAATAAAGGCACTTAGAACTATCAATTACCAAAAGCAACCTACAAGCAAGTTAATTTCTAAAAAGAAAACCAGAAAAGCAACTCTTTACCCGTAGTACAATCTTACTAGTTAATTCTGGCAGTTTGTAGGTCAACTATGTAAGAATTTTTAAAAACTAAAGACCATAGAATATATAATTCTTGTGAGTGAAAAGAGCTGTTATTTTTCTCCAAGAGAAAACTTCAAGGTATGAAAAACTTAAATGAACGCAAAATTAAAACTCATAATAAAAAAACTATTTCAAAATAATTCATCTACAGTAACCAAGTCCAAAAAGTTCAGGAGGAAAAGAAACAACACAGAGAAGAAAAATGTCCCCATTTTTGCCTTAGGAAACAGCTAAAGATAATTAAGACATTTCCTAATGTAAAAAACAGTAATAATAATTTCCCTGTTTTTCCCAATACCAAGGAAAACACTAAAGTATTCGAAGCAAAGAAAACAGAAATATGTTCTTTCAGCTTTCTAAATGAGAGTTCTGAAGCTCAAAAGATACTGTCATCAAGCAGAAGTTAACCAGAACTTTTACTAAGTTTACTTTAAGAGATGCATTTCCTATGCTTTTTCCCAAAAAATCAAAGAAAAAATAAACAAATGCAATATCCTCCAGCAATTAAAATCAAGTGAGAAATGAAAAATACTAACAAAGCCCCAGGATTAAGTAAGCTTAGGCTAAAAAACAGATCTTATACAATGTTTAAATCTTGTTCTCTCTTTAAAATTTTCAATAGTTCTATTCAAACACACAGACAAATTACTTCAGGAAATAAAAGTGTGTCTTACAAGAATGTTCCACTTGGCAACTAGACTGTGCAGGGCTCCCAGAAAGACTAGCGGTTTCCTCAGTTGCTTTTCCTCTTAACCATGAAACCAAGCAGTAGGATCCCGAGTTGTCACAACCAGCACTTTCTAAAATATCACACAAGGTATGACAAAGGAGCTCCTTCCGCTCTTCCTCTAAAAATAACCGAAGCATAAGTTACAGTGATTTTCTCTGCGGGGGACAAAAAACTCCTGTCAAATAACAATGTTAAGAATGTGTTAATTTAGTGATGAAAATCAAGCATTTTTAGTGGGTCAGAAATCCATAAGCCACTGATCTTCAATTACAGTTTAGAAAAACAATGTGCTTGAGGGTTAAAATGTCACTGCTATTGAATGTTTCCATTCAGGAGAAAAAGAATCCTGGAAAATGCGCAATTAAACATCAGAGCAAAGAATATGCTCTGTGGAGTAAGCTGATACTGATCACCCCTTTCTTAGGCTGCAAACGGAGCCTTTCAGCCATGAGGATTCCCTTCTTGTAGAACCAGGTCTTGTAAGGGCCTGTGGAGACCTCCGTTTTTCCCCATTTCTGAATTAGTCTCATGTCTTTGATCTCCCAGTCCCACAGGGGGAAGGATAATGAAATAATAACCATCGGCACATACAATGACACAAGCCATTACATTAGCAGAGGCCGCTGCAGTTATGCTGCATGGTACACAAACCACTGATACTGTACTGCGGTGATCTGAGCATCAGACATTTAAAAAAATAGCACAAATGCTTCACTTTGTCCTGAACCTTAGCCACCCTTCCCTCTTCAAGCAGTGTTCATCTCCAGAAGTAGTACCACTTTCTGAAGCTTTCAAACAAAGGCGATAAGATGGATATATACCCCATTATGTATAATTTTATGCTAGAGGGAGGTTTCTCTCTCCCTAGATAGACTAAGGGTTCTTTAAAGGCTGGAACTGTCCTATTCACTTTCTAGCCACCACAGCATTTACAACACTTATGACAAATGCTACAAAAATTTCCTATCAATATGAATGTTTCTGTGCAAGAAATTTTAAAAATTTTATTAATAAACTGTTCATGCTAGTAAGTCTCTTTTGAATATTTATTTCTTTCTTCTCTACTGAAATTTATTTTGCATTTCAGTTATTAATTAAAAATATATGACAGTGACACTTTCTCTCTTAAATTTAAAACCACTAGTAGAATGTAACTGCATGGTTTGGAATGGAAGCTGTTTTGCCCTTACATACAAAACTGCGATTATAATATATTCTGCCTTCTTTCAGTAGTCACTGTGAGTTCACATAAAATAGTGTAAGTGAAGAAAATATCTCTGTAAACTGTCAAGGATGCAAATGCAAATGTTTGTTATTATCAGGGAGCACAAACAGTTCTCTGATTTAATCATATTGCGGAAGCCATGAAAGCGTCATTTGCGATTTAACTCATAATTACCTGTAATAGTATTCGAATTGCATACGGTGTTATACTAAAAGATTCAGTAATACAAAGATAATCTTGAGTTTTTGCTCAAAGCTAAATAAGACAATACAACCATAAATGATTCTTCCTTATGGTATGCTATCATTTAACAATGCACCAGATTTTTCCCTTAGTTGTAAAAACCTGTCTTACCCCTCTCAGTTAGGAAAAGCACATTACAAAATACACATTTGTAAGATCTAGAGTCACTGTTCATGAAAATTCCGGGAATATTTAAAAAGTCAACCTCACGAAAAAGTAACTGATAGTTTACTTTTTAAAAACAGATAATTTCAACTGAATTACTGCCAATGAATGCTGCACGAATCACTTATAAAATAAAAGATGGAGTAAAAGTTGATAAAAGACAGCTATCATACCTGGGCAATCCCTCCAAGAAGACTTCTCAGAAGAAAACAGGAGCTTCTTCAAAAGAAATGCCTTTATACAATTAAAGCAATAATTATTAGAATTTATTATAAACATACCTTATATCATTCTTTTATTTTAAAATAAAAAAAAAAAACACCTAATTTGCACCTCCTTTCTGATCTTTTGAATAGTGCTATAGAATTTCAAATTGTTTCCCTTCATACTCACCAGTAACTGAACATAATTACTTAGACTATACTGCTATAAACTTGATTCTAGATCCATATAATTCTTTTATAGTACACATTTTCTGCCAAATAGAAGAACTGACTCAAAATAATAAACACATAACTGAAAAAGAAATTTACTGCTTCATTCACAGTGTGAAGGCCCTATCGATCAGGAAAAAAAAATCTACGTTTCTCTTTGATTCCTTAGGGAAAGAAAGCTAAATACAAAAGTGGTTCTGTACTAGTTCTCATTTGTGACACAAGAATACCACTGTGTGGGTCACTGATAAGGAGCTCCTAACTTCCTGATTTAACTCAAAAAGCTTTAAGATCCCAAAGAAAAAATAAACCCATTTTTAACCTTTTCTTAAGTGTACCAACTATGTTACGTTGGTGATTTGATATAGCAGTTCTGTGTATAATACTGTTTCCTTCTCAAAGTGTAGTTAACCTGACTTGTTTATTTAAGAGGCAGATCCTGATGCTCCACCTACTTTATCTCCAGGGGGCAGATTCAAGAAAAAGTAGTTACTATGGTGATTCTTATTCATCAGTGTCTGGAAACAGTAGTATACAGATAAGAAAACTACTTTTAGTTAATAGACCTAAAGTTGAATCCTGGTTCCATTATTTTACTAATTAAAAATAATAGTAAAAATTATTTTACTAATTAAAAATAATAGTAAAAATTATTTTACTAATTAAAAACAAACTTTAAAAGGTTGTAATGAGGATTACACGAGATGATCTAGTAATACACTTAGCACAATACCAGCACCTAATAAGCTATCAATCTTAAACATTTTAACAAAAAAATAAGTAACATTCTATGATATTCTCACTGAAAGAAAATCTACAAATACTACAACCAAGTACTTCTGACTTTTCCCCAAATAACAAAAACCATAAAATTGAGTAACATAACTACATTACAAAACTGGAAAAGTGAGGTGGGACAATCATTATTTCACCTCTAACAGAACCACCATTTGCATTTTGATATACTTCCTTCCAGTCTTTCTTTCATACCTGTTTTAAATTTTAAGTGAGAAGCCTAACTGGTATGTGATTGTCTCCACTCTTCAGTTTTCCCACATAAGTCAATCTCTAAATATCTACCAAGCTATTAAAATTTACTTCCAACATTATTCCACGCTTACATGACGTTACTGTGCATTAGGTTATTTGCAATTTTTAAAAACTACTATAAATAAAAAACATATTTGGACTTGCTCTAAAAAAGCTAATTCTTGGATACAACCTTTCCATCTTAAGGATTATTTCTTCAGGAAAGATTCACAGAAGTAAAATTATTCACACCAAAGAATCTGCATTATTTTATCATGGTTTCAATTATAATGTAAAATTCCTTCCCTAGGTCACAGTACAAATTTATACTACATAGAATTATCTGTAGCTACACAGAGTGTGCCAGCCATCACCCTACCCTTATATGCACTGGCAATTATTTTATATCTAAAGATAAGGAAGAGTAAGCACAAGAATCTGTTTAAAAGTTTTATTTGTACTTTGGTGGGTTCCTAGTGAGCTTGGGCATCTTGAGTTTTTGGTTGTGCAGCACCATTCCACCTGCCATGACTGCATATACTTGCCCATCTCACCTCTGAGGTTTCAGTGTTTTTCTAACCATGTGTACACCTTCTTTGTCTAAGAAAGATATTCATTTACTGCTAACATCACTTGCAGATATTTTTCTGAGCCTGGAACTCACCTATTCTCTTAGAGGGTTGGTAACACATTATTTTCAACTTCCTGTGGTTAAGTGTTATATCAGGAATAAACTTGGTACATGGTATGAAACGGCCCAGATTCAGTTTTCCCCCTCAAATTATCAACCTGGCATATCGGTAGCATTTACTAAACTACACTCTATTTCATCATTGATTTGCATTCCTTCTTTTTATGGTATGTGATTAATTCCAGGTGTACTATTTTATGTAACATGGTCTACTACTGTATTTTCTACTTGGTTCCATAATGCCTACTCTTCTAGCAAAAGTGCCATGTTCCAGAGTTCAGTTTTAAAAAGTTCAACATCCAACTTGCACACTTCCCTTCATTACTCTCAGTAACTTAGTTTTGATTTTTACATTGAAATATTAATACAAACAAAATTCTATAATCGAAAACATTTATGTGACTATGAAGCTAAATTACTACTTCAAAGATATATCTTTATTTTGAATATTACAATTATTTTCTGTTACATAGCAACTCCACTTGCAAAAATAACTACTATTTTGGAAATATACTTAATTTTATAAAACATGAAATCCTGTTTATCTTGCATTTAAGTATATTCACAGACTGGCAATAAAGACTCTAAGGTACTATTATGGCCCAAGAGGGTCAGTGGTAATAAAATCTATCTTGTATATGAATAAGACATGGAATCCTCAGATTCAGATAAGATTCCTACTAGCAAATCAAAACCTATCTCAGTTGATCAACAGCTCTAATAACTAATTTATAGTTAAATTTATTTATACTCCAAAATCCCTAGGCAAAGCTCATTCAAATTTTTAATTAAAAAAAAAAAATCTACTAATGAAAAAAATGTATCAACTTTACTTTTTAAAGAGGCAACAATGACCTACAAAGAATATATTTTAGAATCAACCATAAAGGAAAACATTTCTTCAGAAAATGCACTTTAAATTTAACAATGTAAGTGTATGGAGTTTGAGAGAGAAATTTATTTTGCAACCAACAGTTCAGGAAAGCATTCTTTATGCCCAATGAATAACAAATACCATATTAAAAATGTATTTTCAAAATGTGCTGATTAAAACAAGCAATAAATTCAAGTTTCTTTTGTAACAGTTCTGAAGTTATACTGTTGTTTAGACATCGTAAATATCACAGCAAACTGAAAATTCAATTCTCCATTTTAATAATGTAATAGTTCATGGCAAATCAGCCTTTGAATTTCAAACAATGCAACACATAAAGATTCAAAATCAAATACACACACCCTGTCTCATGTGAAAAGAAAAAAAAAATTTTTTTTTTAAATTTTGGGAATTGTTTGAAATCTGCTTTTACTGATTTTAAAGACCAAAAAGCTAGTGCCTAAAACAGTATGTATTGGCAACTTACTTTAAAATCTGATAAAGTTTTAGGCCATGAAAATATTAACTCATTTTCACCTTTTTTGAAGAAACATTTTAAGAGACAAAACACATACAAATGGTACCATGTTTATGGTATAACTACCTTTGGCATAAATTATTATTACTCAATAGGATCACTGTGTAAGATGTTATGGCTATTATTTTCAAGAAAACGTAATAGAAAATTTGGAGTTAAAGTCAGCCAAATGGCTACTGCTGTGTAAGCTACTCATATTCTGAATTCATTTTTATTTCAGACATTTAAAGCAATTTCCATGAACACAAGTTAAAAGGTCACTGATCATGCCTCAGGATCACACAGAGTAGAGGTACCAGAAAACACAAACCAAGTAGGGAGCGTCTGAACACGTCCCTCTGAGGAGCTGGTAAAGTAGGCCATGTTACCTGAACAGGCGCGATAACAGCGCAGGGGCCACCTTCAAACTGTTCTAATGCAGATCCCTCTGAGTCACTAAACACAAACCCTAAAAATGAAAGCAAGCAGCAGAGATTAACATGTCATTCAAGTAGTAGCTAAAAGAACTTTTAATGTACTTTGCTCTGAGAATCACTTATCACAGCAGCAAATTATCTCTAAGTCAGCCCATTGTTGTAGTTCTTAGCTTTTGGGGGGGATAAAGGAACCCTTTGAAAAAAGATATGGAACCGAGGCTCCCTGCCAAGTTCACGTGCACACATACCCACACACACAAACACAATTTTGCACTCAGGGTCCCCTATTAAGAGGACTAAAGAGACACAGTGTAGGCTTCAGTAAAAGGACACTAAATCTGATTTTTAAGTAATTTAATATACTGGAAGAAAGACTAGACAGTTTACCTACTGAATTTAAACAGAAATTTTAGGACTCTTCACAGAGAGTATCTTTTTTAGTTTCATCTTTGAGTCACATTCTATAAGCTCAAAATTAAAGAGCATTATACACACTGACGGCTTCCCTGGTGCCTCAGACGGTAAAGAATCTGCCCACAAAGTGGCAGACCTCAGTTTGATCTCTGGGTTGGGAAGATCCCCTGGCAACCCACTCCAGTATTCTTGCCTGGAGAATCACCATGGACAGAGGAGCCTGGCAGGCTACAGTCCAAGGGGTCGCAAAGAGTCGGACACGACTGAGCGACGAGGCACAGCACATACACACCGAATGTGCTCATCCTGGCTCCATCTTCACTGAGGCATCACCAAGCGGCACTGGCTGAGGGCAGCCAGGACAAGCTCCCGCAGAGAACACGGCGCACTGTGGAGACGCTGCGGCCCAAAGTCAGGAGGCGAGTTACTATCTGTACAGCCTTGAGGAAACCACTTCACCTCCCTAGGCCTCAGGGTACTTAGCTTTAAAACAACCATTTCCCACTCCAACACACCTAATGGTTATATTTCAGTCATTTATCCAACAAATATTTCATGACCCTCAGACACTACACCAAACATCCAGGATATACAAATGACATGCATGACAAAGTCCCTCATCTGGAGAAGCCAAGAGTCCAGATGAAGACAGACATACGAACAAATCAGTAAAATAAAGGGATAAATGAATGTTTCAACAGCAGTATGAAGACTGTGTTGAGGAAACTAAAAGGAATGACTTTGCCTAAATCAAGTCGTAACAGGTGACTTGAAGGCTGACCTTGAATGGAACTTTACCAGAGAGGCAAGGGTTGGAGAGTGACTTTCAGGTAAACAAAACATCTTTAGTAAAGGAAAAAGGTGTGGTAAGAACAGGACAAGTTCATGGATCAGAGGGAAATGTCACGCAGCTGAAGGGCTGTATGGGGGAGGATGGTGAGAAAGGAGAGATGACAGGACATTCATACTGGGAAGGGCCACATCATGACAAGTACTAATTAAAGTAACACAACCATACTGGTATTTTGCTTTTGCCTTTAAAGGATCAGAATGGGGAGGAGACCATTTCAACAGACCTATAGAGACAGTGCCAGACTAATAAAAACAACACTAACATGAGAGAAAACACTATATACAAACAGTATTTCTAAGGTAAAAATTAAGATTTGATGAATATATGCAAGTGCAGCAAAGGCTGGGTACATAAGAAATTAGATCTCTGTTTCTACCTTGAGACACTAGGTAGCAAGTGAGTTAAAACAGTATGGAGGACCCCACTCCAGTCCACCTCCTCTCTCTTTACCTTTCAATCTCTTTCAAATACGATTTAAACATGCACCTCCTACTTAAAAACAAAAATTCTCCTTAAGATTCTACCAGAAGGTCCTTGTTTACCCAAAGGAGTTGAAAATTTATGCCCCACCCCCACAAAAACCTACACACATTGTTTACTGTGCCTTTCATAACTGCCACAACTTGGAAGCAGCCAAGATATCCTTCAGCAGGGGAACGGATAAATAGTACATACAGAAAATGAAATATTATTTGGTGTTTAAAAAAATAATGGCTTGCAAGCTGTGAAAAAACCAGGAGGAAACAGTTATATACCATATGATTCCAACTATATGACATTCTGGGGAAGGCAAAACTATGCAGACAGTAAAAAGATCAGAGGCTGCCAAGGGGAGGGGAGTGGGGGATGGGGTGAACACATAGAGCACAGAGGATTTTTAGGGCAGTGAAAATACTCTATGATATTATAACAATGGATACATTCCATTATATTTTTGTCACAACCCATAGGATGTACAAAACCAAGAATAAAAACTGTGGACTTTGGGTGATAATGATGAGTCAATGTAGGGTCAAAATTGTAACAAACACTCTGGTGGGAAATACTGACACTGGAGGAGGCTGTGCACGTTGTTGGGAGCACGAGGTATGGGGGGAAATCTCTGTATCTGCCCGCAATTTCGCTGTGAACCTAAATAACACTGTTCTAAAAGGAAAAGTCTTAATTTAAAAAATCATTTGACCATTAAAAAAAAAAATTTCCATCCAAGACTCCAAACACCACTCGCTCAAAGTATACCTAATTGTCTGTATGCACTGTCTCAATTTCCTTATCTCCCAATAAACTCAACCCACAATAATCTGGTTTTCAATCTGTGACTGCACCAAACTCATTCTCACCAAATTCAACAATGACCTCTCAGAGAATCATCTGAAATGCTCACCAGTGACTTGTGAAAACCTTCTGGCCCTTGCTTTAGTGGTCCCTCCTGTTCCAAGTTTCCCTTTGTTGTTTCTACGCTGTATCAATGTTTATCAGTGACTAAATGCTAATGTTCTTCAGGTCTTGGCTTTTAGAGTCTTTGTTCTTTTCATTCTACATGTTCTCCCAGTGTAACTCATCTACTCCCAAGGTTTCCACTATGGGTTAGTGATTATATAATCACTATCTCCAAATACAGCCTTGACTGGAACTCCAGTCACTGACAGAATCTAAATTTCTTAACATGGTCTTGTATGGTCGGGCTTCTGCCTGTATCTCCTATCTCATCTTTTGATACTTTCCTTCTTTAGCCTCCAGGTATGCAGACCTTCTTCCAGACCCTCAAATATCCATTATCTCTCTGGTTTCTCATGCTTTGAACATGTTCCCTCCACTTGAAACACTTTCTCCAAAAAACTCCCACTTTTCTTTAAGGCTTCACCTTATAAGATCCTCTTGGTTCAAGGGCCCAAAACACATCTTGTATTTGCCCATTTCCACTCCATTTCTGGTTCACCTTCAGGTTCTAACCACCATCATCTTTCATCTAGAACACCATTAGGAATTTCCAATCAGGATCCCCCTGCCCCATTTCACCCACGTCCCAACTCCCAACTCACCCCTTACCTATTCACCATAAATTTACCAGAGAAATCATCTAGAAATGGAAATCAGTTTTTCTCATAGACTGCTTAAAATATTCAAATGGTTTCTTACTGCAATTAAAATAAAATTCAAACTCCTTTTTCATTGCCTAAAAAAGACCCTATATGATCTATCAATCCCACCTTCCCTCAGTTCACTCTTACCTTCATCATATACAGTGGTCTTAGTCCTCGGAACATCTCAAGGTCTTTACCTGGGGCCTTGGTGTCTGCTGTTCTCTCTGCATGAAAAGGTCTTTACCCTTCTCATAGCTGAATCCTTCTCATCCTAAAAGACTCAGTTGAGGTATTAACTCCTCAGAGAGCTGTTCCCTGACAAACCTAGCTAAGTAGATCCTTCCTACCATTCCCCAGCCCAAATAGGACTTATCGTCATCTGTAATTACGTTATTGTTCATTTGTTTATTATGTCTTGCCTTGCAAGTATCCTGCCTCTCTTATAGACCACTGTTTTCCTAGTGTGTTATTATTAATACAGCTAATACTCAATGAATACTTGCTGAAATTTTGGGAGGAAAGATAATGGGGGTGAGCTCATTCACATCCAACTCTTTGTGAGCCCATGGACTCCTCTGTCCAAGGGGTTCTTCAGGCAAGAATACTGGAGTGGGTTGCCAGTTCCTTCTCCAGGGGATCTTCCCAACCCAGGGATCAAACCCATGTCTCCTGTGTCTGTTGCATTGGCAGGTGGATTCTTTTCCACTGAGCCATCTGGGAAGCCTGACAATGGAAACATTTGTTTCTAAAATTCAGTCCCTAAAATGTGATGGGGGTGGGGGTTGGGGGGGTATGGGTCTGGAGCTCAGGGCAGGGGTGAAGATTAAAGATAGCAACTTCAATCACCCTAAACATGGCAGCTAAAGTGAATGGGAACATACAGAACAAAGATAATGAAGCTGGTTAACATAAAAAAAAAAAAGAAAGAAAGAAAAAAGAAACAAGCAGATGCTGAGTCAGCAAGAAGACTGACAAAGACTTGAAAGCTAAGAGAAAAACAGTGTGAGGCCCCAGAAAGGAAAAGCAGGCAGTCACCTGTCTCAAATGCTGAGTGGAATAAAAACATAAATGAAAACCCTGGATTAATAAGCATGTCACCACTGGGAATACTAAAAAAGGGAAACTTAGAATGCCAGGAAAAGCAGTCAAATTTTAAAGGGTTGAAGTGTGATTCACAACACAAGCAGAGGAGAAACTGCAAACTATGTTAAACAAGTGAAGGGACAAAGGATGACACCTTGAAGGGTAGCTGGATAAGGAATTATTATTTTATAGACCAAAGGGCATGAGATTGAAAGAAGGAAAAAAGTGATCAAATGGAAAAGAGAAAGTTTAAGGACGCTGAGTTCTGAGAAAGCTGAGCTGGTACACAGTAGTGGTGGACTGGATAAAGAGGTTCTCAAAGTGTGGTCTACAGAACCCTGGAAATTTTAATGACCTTTTAGGGAACCTGCTAGAGGGGAAAATCATTTTCTACCATAATACAGAGATATCTGCCCTCTTCTCGGTTTGCTATTCACAGTGATGGTACAAAACAAAAAGCGGGTTATGTTACTGTTGCCTTAGCACACATCAAGGCGGTGCCATTAAGCTGCACCAGCAGTCACTGTACTAGGAAACACCCTGATATGCTCTCAAACACACACAGAAAGCCAATTTACCTTAAGAAAGCTCTTGCTAA